ATCCCTGGGTGGCTCAGCGGTTTAGCACCTGCCTTCAGCCCAGGGCGTAATCCTGGAGTCACGGGATTGAGTCTGACATCGGGCTCCCCACATGGAGCCTGCTTCTCCCTCTGCCTGTGTCTCTGACTCTCTCTCTCTCTTTGTGTTTCTCATGAATAAATACAATCTTAAAAAAAATTGTAAAAAAAGAGAATCACCTAAGTTAAGTCCCTGGATGACACACATTAATCAATATGGATTATTAAAATGACTAAATCAAATACATTTTGATCCAGAAGAGACAGGTAGTTTAAGCCTCAAAGTGCTGGGGAAACTAAACTTAGTGTACTCATGTGTCTGTAAAATAGGTCTCGTTATAGTACCTATTTCAGTCTTTAGGAGAATTAGTATGTGTAACAGGAGTTAATATATGTAGGTCTTTGGCATATTTCTTTTATTAGTAGACTTTTTTTAAGAACAGTTTTAGATTTACAGAAAAAGAAAGCAGACAGGACAGAGAATATATGTACACCTATATATCCTCCTCTTATCCTATCTTAAGCTCAGTTTCCCATTAACATTGTAGGTACATTTGTTACAATCCATGAACCAATACTGATACAATACTATTAACTAAAGTCTTTAATGAATTCAAATTTCCTTAGTATTTACCTCACGTCCTTTTCCGTTTTAGGATCCATCCAGAATACTATATTATAATCCAGTAATTAGGCTCTCTTTGCTGTGATAATTTCTCTGGCTTTCTTGTTTTTGATTACCTTGACAGTTTTGAGGAATACTGGTCAAGTATACTGTAAAATGCCTCTCTACGGGAATTTGTTTTTGGCACATGTCTTTGGTTACAAAAGTGTTGGGTGTTGTTATTCTTACTTCATATTCAGGTTAAAATGTGGAATAGAGATGGGAAGTTGGAGATAGTTTTGCTGGATGTTCAGTATTTACTATTATTATTATTAAAGATTTTATATTTATTTGAGAGAGAGATAGTATGAACAAGGGAAGGGCCAAGGGGTGAGGGAGAGGGAGAAGCAGACTCCCCATTGAGTGTGGAGCCCAACATGGGGCTTGGTCCCAGGACCCCAAGATAAAGACCTATGATCCAAAGTCAGGTGCTTAATCAACTAAGCCACCCAGGCACCCCTAGATGTTCAGTATTTAAAAGAAAGATTTATTTTGAGGCTTGGTCAGTTTATCAGTGCTGAAAACTGGACAAATCTGGTTTGCCTACATCTGTCCATCCATCTGTCCATTCGATTTAGTAAATATTCACCAAGTCTCTATTGTGAGGGCAGAAGTGTGTTAGATGTTGAGGATTCGATGATAGAGAAAACAAAATTGCCCTCATGAAGCTTCTGGTCAAATATGGAGACAGTTAATAAGCAACTAAAGAAATAGCCTAAAAGATAGCTTATGATAAACAAGGAAAAGGAAGTATTTTTATATTTTATATTAAAGACTATCTCAGTAGGTGAGGGGAAGAAGGATTACTTTATTAGGATGGTATATTAGTTAGGGTCAGATTTAACTGAGAGGGATAGAAGACTTTAAGAAACAGGCTTAAGCAAAATAGGAATCTCCTTGTCATGTTTAGGAAATCAGGGAGTCAGTCTGGAGCTAAAGCGGCAGCTCCATAGAGTCAGAACCCTGGCTCCTTCCATCCTGTTGCTCTGCTGTGCATGGTTTCATTCCCTAGGAACATCTCATGGTGTAGGACTCCAGCCATTACATTTGAATTCCAGCCAGCATGAAGGTGAGAGATAGATAAGGGAATGCCCCCTTTCCCATTTTTGCTTATTTCTTGCTGACCAGAACTTAGCTGTGGCCTTACCCAGCCATTTTGCCTAGCTTTATCCAGGTGCCCAGATGCACCAGCTAAATGTCACAAGTGTTACTGGTATGGAACAACACTTGTAAATGCATCAGAATCACCTGCAAGACTTGAAACCCAAGTCTCTCATTCAGTAAGAGGCAAGAATCTGCATTTCTAGCAAGCTCCCATGTGTTGCTGATACTGCTGGTCCAGGACCACACTTTGAGAACCACTACCCAGAAGAAGGGGAGCATGGGTATTTGGGAGCAGTCTCTGATTTGGAGAATAATTTATTTTTTTATTTTATTTTTAAAAAATTTTTATTTATTTATGATAGTCAGAGAGAGAGAGAGAGAGAGAGAGAGAGAGATAGGCAGGCTCCATGCACCGGGAGCCCGATGTGGGATTCGATCCCCGGTCTCCAGGATCGCGCCCCGGGCCAAAGGCAGGCGCCAAACCGCTGCGCCACCCAGGGATCCCCTGGAGAATAATTTAGATGTTGATCATTTACATGTTTATACTGAGACAGATTATGCTTTCTGAGGTCTATGTCTCATCTTTGATATGTCAGATCTGGATAGCTCTACACAATTTAGTCATTTTTGTAAGAGGTTGGTATTTGAGTTATCTACTGTTGTGTAACAAACAACCCCAAAACAAGCTTAAAGCGTTCGTTAGCTTGTGATTTTGTAGGTCTGCAATTTGTGCAGGACTCAGTGCGGAAGGCTTGCCTCTCTCTCTTCTCCATGTACTGGCTGGTCATGACTAGGGCTGGAAGATGCCACATGGCTTCACTCTTACATCTGGGCCTGGGCACCTTGGTGCTTCTCTAGGAGACTCTTTCTAGCAACATAGCCTTAACTTCCTTACTTGGAGGCTTGGGGCTCCAAGAGGGTGAAATGGAAATTCTAAGTCTTCTTTAGTTCTAAGCCTAGAAGTCATACCGAGTTTCTCCTGCCAAAATCTGTTGGTTAGAGTGAGTCACAAAGTGAGCCCAGATTCAAGGGGAAAGGAGGTAGATGCCAAGCAGCAATGGGAAGGAAGAGTGGCAAAGTCCCATCACGGAAGAGCACGTGATTGAGAGGGATTGTTGTAGCTGTCTGGTTATTACCTGTCGGCCACAGTCAGGAATGAGAATGCCAGTTTCATAGTAGGAATCCCTCATAATTGTAACCACGGACATAGACCATTCATTATATTTTATCCTTACCAAGACCAGAGTATGATTTGGATAAAGCACTTCCAAATTTTCTTTTTGATGCACTGCTAGAAAAGAAGTGTGGCAAAAAAAACAAAACAAAACAAAACAAAAAAAAAAAAGAAAAGAAGTGTGGCAAGAGCAAACAGAATTTTAGAAAGTCTTATTAGTTATCATAAGTAGCTTTCCCATAACTTTATAGGTTCAAAAGTTCAAACACAAGAACATAATTTGGAAATATGTTCATAAATATTTTCTCACTGGCCTTCTTCAGAGACATGGGTATTTTATTTATTTATTTATTTATTTATTTATTTATTTATTTATTATTTATTTACGATAGTCACACACACAGAGAGAGAGAGAGGGGCAGAGACACAGGCAGAGGAAGAAGCAGGCTCCATGCACCGGGAGCCCGACGTGGGACTCGATCCCGGGTCTCCAGGATCGCGCCCTGGGCCAAAGGCAGGCGCCAAACCACTGCACCACCCAGGCATCCCCGAGACATGGGTATTTTGATTGAAAGTTGTGATCTCAAATTTTGAAAGTCAGCATTTAAAATATAAGGTTCTCACACCCATCCAATGTGAATTAATGCTCTAAAAGAGGACATGTTTATAGTGTATTTTGATAGGGTGTATTGCGTTGGCTGAGGGTAAGAGACTCCTCTCTCCCTCCTCCCTCAATGAAATCTCTGCAAGCGCTTGAAATTTTACCAGGAGTGATTATTTGTTCAAGGATTGCTCATTTTCACTGGCTTCTTACATAGCAAATACTTCTGGGAAGGGAAGGGTGGAAGTAAGCAGCACTGTACTATGAATAATTTACAGGAGCAGTTGTCTCAGAATCCTGAGAGTCCTGGATGCCTTTGCAGGAAGGGGGTGCTGACGGCAGGAGGTTGGCCAGATGGGGATGGGAGGGTGAAGACAGAGTTACTGAGCCCCAATTTCTTTACTTCGAACAGACTGCTGCTTAGGTGGCATGCATTAGGCTTATGGGATGTTAGAATAACCAATTCCATACTGGCTTTTTATTGTGGAGAGAACATTTTGCTCCTATAATATGATATCATACATTCTTTGTGTGTGTGTGTGTATTTTTTCTAAACATTTCTCCAAAGAGTATTTTTTACCCCTAAAATAGCTCCAGCCGCCTGCTTTGAGGTTTTCCTCTTACAACAACGCTGAGCTTTTGTGATTTTCCTTTGGAGTGGAGTATCTCCTCCTGCCCTTCCTTCTCAGCCTATTTTCCAAGGTCCAGAAGAGAGTGCTGGTGTTCTCCTGGGCCTCTGAACTTGCCTGCCCGCTGTGGGACAACTCCAGCAGGGGCAGAGACCGTGCAGCTTGCTCACCAGGTGTTGAATGGACCGCAGGGTGGAGCTGCCCCACAGCCTGTGTTTTCCCCGCGTGAATAGCAAGCTGATTGCCCTCTTTGATTCCTTAAGGGCACTGGGGTGCTCCTTTTCATGTAGGCCTTCACGCAGTGTAAACGAATCCAACTCAGAAGCCCCGAAGAGTTACATTCTTGGGAGCTGCCTTTGTTCGAGGAGCTAATACAGGGCAGAGCTGTGATTTTATTATTCCCACAGAAAGCCAGAGCCTGTTCGCTGGTTCAGATGAAAAGCTCTGTGACTAACAGGATTCTTTCTTCGTTGCTTTCTTTTTTTGGGTTACATTTCTCCCATTAGCTGCCAGGTTGTTTCACAACATTTCTCCCGGCTGAAGTGATTTATCACGCAGAGTGAAGGAGAAGTGGGGATTGTCTGCTTTCCTTTTACCCCCTGACGCCAGGGCTTCTGCTCCTGTAATCAGGACAGGCCAACACCCATTACTTAGGTGGTGTGGGCCGAGCAGAGGAAACTTGACTCACAGTTGTTACCATTCTGGAGAAGTCCTGGGATATGGGGCGGTGAGCCAGTTGGGGTGCAGTCTGCCTCCTGGTTCTCCCTTCTAAAGCCAAAGGCTCTTGGAAGACGAGCCTTAGTTTTGCAGCCAAACTAAAGATGGAGGTCCTTCTGCTGTAGTCCTGGGGATCGACTCCATACGGATTTTACAGTTAGCCAGAGGCTGCTGTAACCCCAACTAGAGTGACCAGGATCCTGTCTCTTTTAAGTCTCCAGGTAGGCTCCCACCCCTACCCCAGCCCCGAGCTGATTGGCAGGATCCCAGGGGATACCCCCAGGCTGTTGACAGGACACCCCTGTCTTGCTCTTCTTAGTTACTCTTCTTCCCAACCACTTCATATAGACAAGAATGTTTTTTTGAAAATAAGTGGCAGATGGGCAAATCCCATTAGTTGTTTAGTGTCATGACAATAGCTGAAGAACAGCTAGGTGATAACAACATTTAAGTCTTGAAAGCTTGCAGGCCTCTACCTGAAAAACAGGTGAGCCACAGGCAATGAATGAATTGGAGGAAAGTGCTAATTTACTAACAAGGTGGCCCAACAAGATGTAAGCAGGTGCAGAACCAATGTAAATACAACCCCTGGTATCCTCCTGGGGAAATTTGTGCTGGTGGGTCCTCCAGCCCCCAGCCTCGATGCACGGGCTCCAACTAACACCTAGAACCACCCCAGTTACTGGGCCGGTCCTGACAAGTTGGGAGCGGGTCAGCTCAGCGTACTGTAAAAGTGTAGCCAGGAAAAGGGAAACCACGCTGAGCATTTGAAACTGAGGGAATTTAATGCGGGTGTTTATTAGGAAGATGGAAGAGCTGAGAAGCCAGACAACCAATGGTGAGATACCCCAAAGAATGGGAACAGCTGGAAGCCACTGCTATTTCTCAGCTGGAGGTCAAATAGGGGGAGGTGAAGCCTGAGGGTCCTGGGGTGGAAGCCACCGTGGGTGGGCCTGGTGAAAGCTGGAGTGGAGAAGAGATGCCAGAGACACTGCCTGGGCGTGGGGGGGCGGGTAAAGTCCCCTGGGAAACACAGCTCACAAGGGTCAGTCTCCTGCGACCCAGGGCAGAGCAGCAGAGATAAGAGCTGACCCAGGCAAGGAGCCTGTGTGTGTGGGTGTGTGGGGGGGGCATGGGGGATCAGAATCCAGTCTTACTGGGAGCAAACCTTGTGTCTGCAGGGACTCCTGGCTGTCGTGGCTTCCACTGGCGGCCGCAGATCGTATGAGAGAGTGCAGTGGTCAAGACCACTATACAGTTCTCGCTAGGAATGTGGGTCACGTGGACGTATGCATGGATTAAAAAATCACTGAACCGTAATATCTAAGTTGTACTTCGATAAAATGTTAAAATACACACACACAAAGAATATTAGGCTCTGGAGTGACATGTCTGTTTGCTACTAACTTGCTCTTACAGACGGGATTGTGTTCCCTCCTCCCACCCCCCAAATTCATGTGTTGAGGCCCCAACTCCCAGGGTGACTGCATTGGGAGATAGGGCCTTTTAGAAGGTCACTAAAGTTAAGTGAGGCTATAAGGATAGGTCCCTAATCTCACAGGACTAGTGTCCTTGTAAGAAGAGAAAGAGAAGCCAGAGATCTTTCTTTCTCTACACAAAAGAAAGGCTGCGTGAGGACAGCAAGAAGGCGGCCACCTGCAAGTCAGGAAGAGAGGCTCCACTAGACACCAACCCTGCCAAGCACCATGATCTTGGTCTTTGAGCCTCTAGCACGCTGAGAAAATAAATTTTTGTTTTTAGATCACCCAGTCTGTGGTATTCTGCTACAGCAGCCTGAGCTAAAGACTCGCTGTGTCACTTTGAGCAGATCACACATCTTATTTCTTCATCTGAAGAATGGAGATAATCAAGTTCCCTCCTCACAGGGTTTTGGGGACAATGAAGTGAGATAGGAGTTCAAAGCCCTCAGCATATAGTAAGCATGTACTTGTAGCTCTTGCTATTCATACCCCTGAATCTCTGCCTCAGTATCCCTGCCTGAAATTCTGGGCCTCCCCTATTCTCAGATGCTATCTCCTCACACAAGATCTTGCTGGTCCTCACCCTGTCTCCAGCCCATGTTAGGGATCCTGCTGGCATTGGTCAGAACTGTCACCTGCCTTTTAGCTGTCTGTGTGCCACTTTCTGACACCATCTCCACCCTGAGAATGTCGTGTCCCTACAATTATGTGCTTTGGTCCGTTTACCAAGTGGCTTGTGGCTGAGCCAGCTGTATCGGTTTCCCATGACCCCATCCTTTCTGGTCCTGGCTGCATCCCACCAGCCTGGGTGCTGAGGTCGGCCCGACATACTTCCCATCTCCGTTAGACTCCAGGCTACTTGCACAGACCTATGGAGCTGTGGCAGCTCTAGATTTTTCTGTCTAGAAATGGATTAGGCTGGAAAGGGGTGAATGGATGAGCTTGCTTTCGTATGTATAGCAAAATGCTGTTTTATTATTTTTTTAGAGATTTTATTTATTTATTCATGATAGACCTAGAGGGGGGGGGCGGCACAGAGACACAGGCAGAGGGAGAAGCAGGTTCCATGCCGGGAGCCCGATGTGGGACTCCATCCGAGACTCCAGGACCACACCCTGGGCCAAAAGCAGTCGCTAAACCGCTGAGCCACCCAGGGATCCACTGTTTTATTTTATTTTTTTTAACTTACATTGTGGATTTATTTGGGGTGGATTTTGGGAGAAATAATGAAAATTATGTATACGTGTGGGGTTGGTAGGTGGATTAGCATCAGTCCCTTACTGGGCACATTGTTGCTAATTTAATGTGTTAGAATCTGTGGTTGTCTGTCTGTAGTTTGTTGGGTCATTTGTAAGCAATGGTTCTCAGGTTTGTAATGAATGGTGTCTATTAGTTTCTAATTACCGTGTAACTCAAATTTAACAGCACAAACCAACACACACACTTGTTATCTCATAGTTTCTGAAGTTTTTAGTCTTTTAAAATTATACACATGAGGGCAGCCCGGGTGGCTCAGCGATTTAGCGCCACCTTCGGCCCAGGGCCACCTTCGGCCCAGGATGGAGTCTCACGTCGGGCTCCCTCCATGGAGCCTGCTTCTCCCTCTGCCTGAGTCTCTGCCTATGTCTCTATGTTATCATGAATAAATAAATAAAAATCTTAAAAAAATAAAATTATACACATGATACAAGCTGGTAATAAGCTTAAACATTGAGAAGTTTATTAAGTAAAAATGATAAGCCCTTATCCACCTCTATTCTAACTCTCCCAGAGAAATGATAACTGGTCGCTGCTAGTACATCCATACATTTTTTTTGGTAGGCTTATATGAACATAGGTTCATAAGATATGCTCCCATTTTTATGTGAAACAAGAATGGACTCACAGTTCAGTTAGGTTAGGTGGGACTTCTGTTTGCAAGTGATAGAAACTCGACATCAGCCATTTTTGGCAAAAAGAGGAATTCACTGGCAGAAGAATTTAAACCACAGGACTCAATCTCTCTGTGGTTGTCTCTGCTTCCCTCAGACCAGCATACTCCACAGGCTGGAACTCTGGTCACCAGAAGCTGCCTGGCTCCCAACTCCAGGCTTCCCCTCACAGAGGGCTTATCGCTTCTCTTAAGCTCTAAATAGAGCATTCCCAAGAAGGATGTTGACTGGCCATGAGTACCATTTAAAGTACTTTTGGCTGCAAATAACAGAAACCCCAACTGTGAGTGTCTTAATAAAGATTTATTCTTTTCATGGAACAAGATGTCTAGAGGTATTAGACTAGAGCCCAGGGATGCCATGCTTTTTGCATCAGTTTTTTGAGCAATTCCCCTGGTCTTCCCCTCAGGGTTGCAAGATGGGTCCGGCGGCTCAAAACATCATGTTCTCATTTGGCAGGGTCTTTCTCTACCTGGCTTCTCTCAAAAGCAAAACCCGAGACAAAGGCTGTTGTGTGGTGGCCTGGGGAGGTGATCGCAGGGAGTGGGAGTAAGAATCTGGGAAAGAGGGACAGCCAACATAAGGAAGCATTACTGAGTGGGCTGGTGCTGTGGGCGACCTGCTGGTACCTCCTGAGGGGCCTTATGAAACACATCTCAGGACTGTCTGGTGGGGGACAGAGAGGGAGACGTTTTTCTATCAGCATGCTCCCTCCTCCCCTAACTAAGCAATATGACAACATATTCTCCAGTCGGTGTATGTGTCTGTGGTGTGCACAGTTCGTAGCTGCAGCGTCATGCAGCTGAGCCACACTGCCTGTTCTGTTAATGGGTATTTAGACTGCAGTCCTGGTTTTATATTGAGTTGTCACAAACATTGAAGGGGGCATGGCTTCCCTGCTCTCCAGGCCCCCCACCCGTCCCCTTGGTCTCAGAACTGAAGAACTTTTATCCCCTTTCAAGACTTTGGCACATTGAAAAATATAGCAATATATCATCTTGCCAAAACATAACTATTTCACACTAACCTATTCAGAGCAAAAATAGCAAAGAGGTAAAAATAGCTTTTAAGTAGCCAAATAGATGTCAAAGAGTTACAAATTCCAGCTGGACCGGGCAGCCCTGTGTGGGACGTTGCTCTGGTTCGGGCTGAAATCTCAGGCACTTGCAAGAGAGGGCTTTGTTGAGGAGCCCGTTTAACCTCATTTTACTCACAATTCTGACTAGCTTGGTATCCTAGTTACTATTTCCACAAATGAGAAGGGGAAGGAAGCAAAAGGAAGCCACACTGCCAACTCAAATCAAAAAAAAGGGGCCCCTCATGACAACAAAAACAAAACAGCAGAAACAATAGGCCGAAACCCTTTTAAAAATGTCCCAAACATGCAAAGGAATACAGGCATCCAATCTACTCCGTGGAACAGGAGAACCACGGGGGTTCACAGCCAGAGAGAACTGTTAAAATCCCGTTCAGAGTCTTCTTTACGAGGCATGGAAATGGAGAATTTATTTTATGCTGTTATATCTTTTCATCCAGTATTGATTCAGTCCGATTGTTCTTTTTGCGCAATATTTTGGAAAGATTTCCTAATATGTAGGTTTCAAGTGATGAAAAAGTTGATTCTCAAACCTCTGGGGAACATCACTGTCCAAACTGGTTTCCATGGAGTTTTAGCCATAAAATTTCCTCCAGCAAAGTGGTTGGGTAACCATACAGAATGCTTTCTCTACCTCCCTGCATAAGGGGGTGGGTGACATTAACCTGTCTTCACCTCTAAATCAGGCCAGGGGTGTTCCATTTTGTGAGGGC